CTGGCTTTATTCTTAAAAAAAATGAATGAATAATTACAGAAAATTTTAATTTATCGTTCATTTTCTTAGGAAACTAGAATACCCATATCACAATTTATTGGTTTATTCAGTTTATTCTCAACCTGCACTTCAAGAGATCTACCAGACATATATGACTCGATCCATTTTGAATTGGACCTCAAGTTCATTATTTATATTTCGTGCTTGTTCAGTTTTATTGTTGGAGTCATTTATTTTTGTATTATAGTTGTTGGTCTTTCCTTAATTGATTTCAAATTTGTAATTTTATTTTCAGTTGACATTTTAAGATTTTATACAGGAAAAGTTGACTAAGTCCATAGTTACAGAAATAATGTCGTATACAGCTGATGGGGAATAACAATTTCATCGCAGTGCCAATTTTTACATTTCAGGTATCCCTTGAAACAAAATTATTGAAGGTGACAAACATAAGTACAGCTCTCCTTACTATTTATTTAGACACAGCCCAAGATCTACAGAAAGTGAAATCTAAGAAACCAGATCCATATGTTGTCTTAACAGTAGGAAAAGTACAACAGAAGAGTAAAGTTAAGAAACACACCGTCGATCCTGTGTGGGAACAAGGATTTTCACTTCTTGTTGCTAATCCTGACAGTGATTCATTGAATCTCAGTATTGTCGACAAGAATAGTGACAGTAAATTGGACCAACTTGTGTACAGCATAAAAAACCTCTTTGATTTTCCGGATTTGCAAATCAGTAAAGAAGAATTCCCACTCACGAACTCTGGAAAAATTATACTTTCGTTGCAACTGAGGGTAAGAGAAAAAATTTGTATTTTGCAAGTAACTATTTTTCTTTTGATTGCAGCTCACTTACTAGTTTTATTGCACGTCATGCGTTACTATTTGAAATGAACATTCAAACATATCGGGTAATTTTTGAGTTATTTATTCTTAATATTTTTCACATCAACAAAATAACAAAAAGATCTACGTAATGTTTATAGGTGAAGCTGTGAAAACAAGTAATTTTTAAAAATTAAAAAATGCACCACAATGGCTATATATATAGATATCAAAGGAGCCAGGAGGTGAAGGATCTAGGTGTTACATATAATAATGTTTCGTCTTTTGGAAATGATATTCAAGGATATATTTGTTCATGAAATCGTATGTTGGGATACCTAATAAGACAACTGAAAAACTTCAAAAATAATAATACAATCAAGCGTCTTTACTGTACACTGCGCCAGGAGTCAGGACCTAAAAGAGGTCCTGACTCCTGGCCTGAAGGACTGGAAAGGTACGCGGTATCTATCCAAAACAAAATAGACATTGCCTACGAGGAATCCTTTCCAATGAGGATGGTTCAAACAGATGGCACAACCAATACATTATGGTGCTCTGAACTGGAACACCTCAGGAAGGCATTGAGAATGACATTTAACAAGGCAAAACGTACAAGACTCGAAGATGACTGGGGTATACAGGGCTTTTCATGATGAGCGTTAATTAGCCGTTTCTGGCAAACTATTCAACGGGTCAACCTGATAATTCCACGTCAATATGACCTACATGCCTAAAATATTTTAGCGTTGTCGCTTCTACTATAAAGTAGCGGCTTCTTTGATTTTTCAAATGGAACACCCCGTATATAATATCATATTATGATTCACTATCATTTTGTCAACAAATTCATATACTATTTCCCTATATCTATCCATTACCGTTTAGAATGTGATCCGTTGTCTGGTTCACCAGAAACGTCTAATGTGCCATCCACCGTGAATCAGCCTGTATATATGTCACTCTTCAAAGGAGGCAGGATCAAGGAAAGGATCTAGGTGTTATATATAATATTGTCTTGTCTTTTGGAAATGATATTCAAGGATATATTTGTTCATCAAATCGTAGGTATATTGGGATACCTAATAAGACAAATGATAAACTTTAAAAATAATAATACAATCAAGCGTCCAGGAGTCAGGTCCTAAAAGAGGTCCAGGAGTCAGGTCCTAAAAGGGGTCCTGACTCCTGGCCAGAAGAACTGGAAAGGTACGCGGTATCTAGCCAAAACAAAATAGACATTGCCTACAAGGAATCCTGTCCGATGAGGATGGTTCAAACAAATGGCACAACCAATACATTGTGGTGCTCTGAACTGGAACACCTCAGGAAGACATCGAGAACGACCTTTAACAAAGCAAAACGTACAAGACTCGAAGATGACTGGGGGTATATATCAAGCCAACCTCAGAGAGTTCAAAAAAGTCTACAGACAAAAACAAAGAGTAGCCAGAAAAGTCTACTGTGAGATAGTCCAAGACTTCCCACTAGCTTCTAGGCTACAGAAGGCACTCTCAAANTTCGGGTACTCTTTGGTCCAAAATCTTTTTTTGAATTGATTGTAGAAGCGTATAGGAGATTCCCAGAAAAGAGGTATGTCACATTATGCATAATTTTTTAATTACTTCAATTTCATGCATGTGCTGTTATGTAAAGTTTGTTTAAACTATCGGACTGTGTTACTAGAAGCCACATTATTTCTTCATAAATTTCAAAATTATGATTCACATATAATTTCAACAAGAATTTACGATAGACATATGTATTGAATTATTTAGCATAATTTCGCAAGATTCTTTTAATAACATGCTAATATTCAAGATAGTTATTCTTTATTATATGTGGAAAAAATATATACTTACGTTCCGAATAGTTTTTTTTGAGGGAAAAATTTTTACAACTTTGATATGAGCTAAGATATTTATTTAATAAAAATCATTTTAGCCGGTGGCGTCAGTGCGACATTTGTACTGAGTCATTTTTGAAAAAAAAGTGATACACCACTGCTTTCTCTCGAACTAAAAGTCACCATTCACTTTTGAGAATGTGGCATCTTAATTTTATTTTTTTTTTGGATGCGGTTTTTGTAAAAAAAACATTATTCCTCACGTTGTTATGAAATGGGGTAAAATTAAGGATTGAAAACATATTTATTGAGTGAAAAAGAGATTTCGTTTCATTAACAAAACAAATTCTGACGATTTTTCACGATTTGTACTCGTATAGTTGTCACATGTTTGAGATGCATCTTAATATTTGGTGGCGCCCTAATAAACGGCAGTTTATGGTGTCTCTAGAAATGAATTTGGATATCTGCTCTCACAAGAATTCTCTCGATTAGAGGTTTTGATTTGAATTATTTGTGAATTGACGGTTTGACCAACTAATATTAGTAATAATCTTGCTAGAAATGTTTTTACAATATGCAAAAATAACCCCAATAATTATTCACCTACTTATTTGCTACGTATGTATATAATCGGTTTGAAACACTGTGGTTAATTTCAGATTTTGAAACATGAGCAATTTGTATGTGACGAAAGTTCATCAGATTCTGATACTGAAGAATTCTCAAGGACGCACTCTGTCAGATCGTCGACCATGTCGCATAGATCAAGTAAGTTCATTGATATTATTTTATGGCGGAGTCTATTCGTAGAAACATCAGCTGAATGATGTAAAAGTCTAACTGTTATTGTTTATTTCAAGTATCATCTTCAAGTGGTAACTCACCACCGCCTAAATCTCCACAACCAATAGCAGAAGTTTCAGAAGTAGGAGAAGATACTATCAAAAAATCTTCCAGCACTTCCCAAAATTTGATGAGAAATCCAAGTTTTAGAGTGTGAGTAAGGAACAAGTAGAAAACAATTCAGGATATCGATTAAGCTACTATAGTCCGTTCATAATTTGTTGATAGCTCACTGCAAGTTTGACCCTCATTAGAGAACTGAAATACAGAGAGGACAGCTAATATGATATAATAACAAAAACCAAAAGTTTAAGATGTTTTCGACTAACCCACCTTGTATCTGAAGAAATACAATACAGCTATAAAACTTTTAATCCGATTATGTAGGTATTTTGAGTGGAAATGAGTGACCAGTGTCGTAGAGTATATGATTAAAACATTAGTTACTTTAAATAAATAAATATATTAATATTCTTAAACTGTAGGTACTGTAAACTGTATTTTTATTT